TTGTTGGGTTTAGTGGGAGTTATACAGTAGTTTCCCATTGATGTTTTAGTGTGAGGAATAGTGTTACCATCATTGGTTTTAGTGGGAGGAATAGTGCCCATTGTTGGGTATAGTGGGACTAATAGTGCCCCATTGTTGGGTTTAGTAGGAGGAATAGTGCCCCATTGTTGGATTTAGTAGGAGGAATAGTGCCCCATCGTTGGATTTAGTGGGAAGAATAGTGCTCCTTTGTTGGAATTACTGAGAGGAATACTGGCCCATTGTTGGGTTTAGTGGGAGGTATACTTACCCATTGTTGTTTTAGTGGGATGAATAATGCCCCATCATTGGTTTTAGTGGCAGGAATAATGCCCCATCATTGGTTTTAGTGGGAGGAATAATGCCCCATCATTGGTTTCAGTGGGAGGAATAGTGCCCCATTGTTGGTTTTAGTGGGTGGAATAATGCCTCATTGTTGGTTTTAGTGGGAGGAATATTGTTCCATCATTGGTTATAGTGGGAGGAATAGTGCCCCATGGTTGGGTTTAGTGGGAGGAATAATGCCCCATCATTGGTTTCAGTGGGAGGAATATTGCCCCATCATTGGTTTTAGTGGGTGGAATAATGCCCCATTGTTGGTTTTAGTGGGAGGAAGATTGCCCCATCATTGGTTATAGTGGGAGGAATAGTACCCCATCATTGGTTGTAGTGGGAGGAACAGTGCCCCATTGCTGGAATTAGTGGGAGGCATACTGACTAGAACACCTTCTTCTCTACGTTTGCTGTGTCCCCCATATGGCTTCTCGCAAATGGAACATCTTATGGCTTTCTTTAAACAATGGCTTTCTTCTTACCACTCTTTCATATTGGCCAGATTTGTGGAGTGCACGACTAATAGTTGTCCTGTGGACATTTTTCTATCTGAGCAGTGGATCTCTTCATCTCTTCCAGTTACCAGTTGCCATGGCAGCTTCTCTGATGAATGCTCTCCTTGCCCGGGCTGTCAGTTTAGGTGGACAGCTATGTCTTGGTAGGTTTGCAGTTGTGCCATACTCCTTCCATTTTCGGATGACGGATTGAACAGTGCTCTGTGAGATGTTCAAAGCTTGGGATATTTTTTTTATATCCTAACTCTGCTTTAAACTTCTCCACAACTTTATCCCTGACCTGTCTGGTGTGTTTCTTGGCTTTCATGATTTTGTTTGTTCACAAATGTTCTCTAACAAACCTCTGAGGGCTTCACAGAACAGCTGTATTTATACTGAGATTAAATTACACACAGGTGGACTATTTACTAAGCAGGTAACTTCTGAAGGCAGTTGGTTCCACTAGATTTTAGTTAGAGGTATGAGAGTAAAGGGGGCTGAATACAAATGCACACCACACTTTTCAGATATTTATTTGTAAAAAGTTAAAAACCATTTACCATTTTCCTTCCCCTTCACAATTATGTGCCACTTTGTGTTGGTCTATCACATAAAATACATATACGTTTTTGGTTGTAACATGACAAAATGTGGAAAATTTCAAGGGGTATGAATACTTTTTTCAAGGTACTGTATACTGCCACGGAGCAAACACTTTGCATTGGAACATGTAAGTGATCCAGGATTCCAGGTAAGAGGGGCATGTGCACCCCCCACCCGATCTGTGCTGTCATTCGGTACAGCACAAGTCAGTCAGCAGGTAACGGCCAATGATTTAGGGTCAAGACCTGCAGATCAGCTTAGCGAATGGCAGTACAGAACCCTGCGTTTAATAACAACATAGGACTCTGTGTCCTGAGCAACGGTGTGAATGTTTTTTGGAAAAACAACCACATCTCTTAGTAAAAGCAGCATACATTAGACATTGTTAGGTACACAGTTAACCCTTTGATTGCCCCCCAGATATTAACTCATTTCCAGCCAGTGTCATTAGTATAGTGACAGTGTATAGTATTATCACTGTATTATCACTGTATTAGTGTCACTGGTGATGTCAATGTCAGTTCCCACCCAATGTTAGTGTCAGATTGCCTTCCGCACTATCACCGCTATTACTAGTATAGAAATAAATAAATAATTCCAGTATATATACACCATTGTATGTAGACACAACAACTTTCACATAAACCAATCAATATACACTTATTTGGATTTTTTTTTACTAAAGGCATGTAGCAGAATACATTTTTGGCCTAAATTTATGAAGAAATTTGTTTTTATTTTTTTATTGGATGTTTGATAGCAGAAAGTAAAAAAATTTTCAAAAGTTTTTTTTTTTTTCGTTTATATATTTTAAAAAACAGTGATGATTAAATACCACCAAAAGAAAGTTCTATTTGAAACAAAAAGAATGCCAAAAATTGCATTTAGGTATACTGTTTCATGACTGCGCAATTGCTAGTTACAGTAGCACAGTACCGAGTAGCAAAAAAATGGCCTGGTCATGAAGGGGGTAAAACCTTCCAGCCCATAAACTGTAGCTGCTGACTTTCAAAAAAAGTCACTCCCCTGTCAAACGATCTGGGGTGTGTTCACCCCAGCCAGGTGCATGGCCATCCTCTGTCCCCGGCATCGTAAGTGTGGGCACCTGGCTGATAGCTTGCAGCTTCACAGGAGGGTGGCCACTGCGCATGTACGAGCAGCGCTGCGCATTATGAATGGTCCCGCAGTCTTCTGGGACCTGTCACGTGTCCCAGAAGATTGAGAGAAGGGGGGTTGGGAGCAGAACTTCTGCTTCTGTTTGCCTAGGCGGTCGCAGTGGAAGTGAGCACCTGTCAAAATCAGGATAACCGCTCCCCAAAAGGTGCCAATTCTTTACGGGGGGCGGGGGACCAGTACTTAAAGCAGAAGTTCCCCTTTTGGGTGGAGCTGCGCTTTAAGTGGTTGATCAAGCCTATCTTAATCTTTTTAAAATGGAGAAAGCCTTAAAATAACTTTCTGATCTACGGGAACCCCTCCTAACAATTACTGTGTCTTAAGCTCCTTGTATTCATGATATGGTCAATGGGAAAAATGACTCCCTAGACTCCATCTACACGGGACACTTCTGAATGGAAACTGACTGCTGGAAAACGTAGGTTAAAAAACATCTGTTTAGCCGCGTTTGCGTTTAGAAGCGTTTTTTAAAGATAACCTCAGGAGACGTTCCAAAATGCCCAGAAAAATGCACTTAGTTATTGCACTAAATTAACTATTTCAGACATTTTGAGAGAAATAGAGAGAGCAGAGAGCAGTATTGAGATTAGCTTTTTTTTTTGTGGTGTTTGGATGTGTTCCGGCTCATTTCTGTGCAGAAATTATTGCAGCAGTGTCTAACATGTTTTTTGCGAAACCTCAAACTGTAAACTCAACTGCCTGTAAACGACTCTGTGTACATGGACACATAGGAAAACATTAGGGAGAGTTCAGGGGCTGCTGAAAAAAACGCAGAAAAGCTCCGAAACGTGAGTTTATCAGCCGCAGTGTACATGGAGCCTTACATTTGTGGCAAGTGGGAGAATTCCCCTTCTTACAGATAGCTATAAAGATTATCGATGTTAGTGGAACTTATCTATGAGGCACAAATTTCTGCTTGCTTAAGGAACACCCTAGCATCCTCAGGAGGGACCCTTGTTGAGAAAGGCTTCCAAAAGCCAGCCAACTGCTTGCATCAGGGTTTTGCGCTCCCGCGAGGAGGGCTGAAGCAGGGTGCTGTGATGTATTTAAGAAGCTATGTACAGTACCCTGCCAGTCTCCCACCAGCTATGATCTGCCTGCATTACAAGAGTTCCAGTGATGACATCACTGGGTCTAAAATAATGGATGTAATGAAAACTGAAAAGTTGATTTAAAAATATCATTAGCCTATGGATGAGGAGGGGGGGCTGGGGGAAGAGGAGAAACTAGGGAAGGCAAAATAAAAAGCTGATTAAACTTCAGTTTTAATTATTTGGAAGTAGTTAACCTCCCTAACGGTCTGATTACATCCATATTTCTGTGCTCAAAGCAGTACATTATTTTGCATGGAAATATGTCGTTTTTTTTTTATTGTAGGCCTGTCAATTTTAGGAATAACTCACTGAAATCTGACCGAACAAGAGTCTAGTAAACATCCCGGGGATGATAAAATTTGAAACACGAAATCATAAATTATAATTTAATAAATAATCATAAAAAATAATATAATAATAAATTTAATTCAATAATGTAATCAAAACAAAAACACTGAAATGTGAAATAGAGCGCCAAGTTCGCACATCGCTGAGCAAAGTCGCAGAATTGTTTTCAGTGTCTGATGAGGAATTTCCCCCACGAATCATTATCACTCAATTCTGCAAGTGGTTCTGATTTACTATCGCTGTTCTCTAGCCGGTCTAAACCCGCTTTTGACCTAAAGGGACGCTTTTTGGACGCCATGGACGTTTCTCAGTTTCCAGGCAGAAAGAACAGTAAAAATGCAGGCAGGGCGCCGGACAAAGCACTCGGGACAAAATGTATGTGAAATGGGTTGATACAGTAATGTTATACTATGTGATTTTAGTGAATTTGCAAATTTTCCGCCAGTTCCATCCCCCGTACGTCCCGACATCGCAGGGAACGGACCTCGGAAGACAGATGCCGGCATCGGGTGGAGGAGATGGCCAGGAACACTGCAGGGGGGACATCGCGGGAGCACAGGACAAGGTAAGTGCAGAACAGATCCCGGAGCAACGCTGTAGTGTATTCCCGAGTGTAGCTCGGGGTTACCGCTTGTGGTGCTGAAACTTTACCCCGAGCTACACTTGGGAATACCGCCAGGGGGGTTAATGAAGAAACAAAATGACCCGTAATCGTATAGAAATTATTTTTTGTAATTTTTTTTTTGTCTAATATTTTGTTATTTTTAATCAGAACAAAAAAATATGACATCTGTTACTTTTACTTGTCCCTTAAAACAGACAATGAAATATAACAAAAATAAAAAAAATCTCCAAGTTATAGAAATTATGATCACAAACATTGTTCAGTGTCCACAGTTCAGGTTTCCTGGAAGATCTACTTCTATTTGTAATGTATTTAGTTAGAAGGATGACTATCTGCGTATTCACTGAGAATCGCTGAAACCGTAAACAAATCTTTTCCTCGAATCTTTTTCAAGAGATCTACTGACAAGTTAGATATCCCTGTATCTAGAGAGCCGCCTCCATCAGGATGGCGCTCCTTCCAGTCTGTGCTTTGTGGTGTTGCAAAATCACTGTCCAGTTTAGCACGCTTGCCGTAAGGCGTGTCAGGGGCCCTTTCTGCCCATGTAGGATCATCAAATGACCTCGAACTACGTCCTCCGTAATTAGGTCTGGGTTCATGTGATCTGTATTCTTGTCTCAAGTCCTGATCATAACTGTTACCTTGAAACCTCTCCTTTTCTGATCTTTGAATGTTAGGAGGCAGAGAGACCCTAGAAAGGGGTCCTTGCTCTGCTTTATAGTCATCATGCGCTCGATTTGCACCTTTACTTGAAATATTGCTGTAAGAGGGTTCATCCCAGTCTCTACTGAACACACCAGAGTCATCATACTGCCTTTTATTAGCATTTCCATATTTTCCTGCCATCAGTCGCTCAAAGCCAAAATCTTCCTTGCTTCGGGATGTGCTAGCATGTTCCATATACTGCTGCCGATGAGCAGTCTTGTTCACGATCACCGCTGAACTATTGCCCCTCTGAATACATTCTCGTTTTTTAATGTTCTGATTTTCAGGCAAAGATGAATTCACATTTGTCTGTCTGTTCTGAATGAGTTCTACCATTTCCATGAGTAAATTCTGATCTGACTGGGCATTTACCACGGGGGGTGCATTTGGTGCCGTGGAGGCCATTGGCATTGATAAGTCTGAACTGAACTGACCCATACTTGCAGGATTTTTATTCAGCTGCTGATACGGAGAAACATTTTTTTTCCTTGCCCGATCCATCGTCATGGGGTCAGCTTGCGGTAACTGGTTTGCTGGTGTATTTTCTAAATTTGCATCCGTATCTAGCAATAAAGATTGTAACATCAGTATTTCTGAATCCATCTTTGAATTGTTGGTCGGCGTGGGACTCTCTGGAAGGAGCTCAAGCAATGCTATTAACTGCTTAAAAAACTCAATATCCTCATCCGTTTCCTCGGTCTCTAAATCTGAGTTCGCTTGTGCTGGGGGCATATGAGGATTGTGGTTTTGGTTTAATTGGAAAAACGGGGATCCTTGTAGCATTTGTGGAAAAGCAGCATTGGGAGGCCGGTATGGGTTGTTGGGCTGCAAACGACGCCCTAGGATATGGAAATTGAGGTTTCCTAACAGTGGGAATATATTCCGCTTTGCCAAGCGTGCTCTAATAGCATCCTGCACTATTGCCTTGGCTACACCCTGTGCCCTGGTAACTTTCAATGGGAAAAGAGCCTCTTCTTTTAACTTGTCCGTGTGCAACTTCACTACAGAGGTCACCTTCTGGAGGAGCTTTGTGACAGTAGCCGCTTCATCGTCACCCTCAATCTCGAACGAGTCCAGAAATTCCAGAGCTTGCTTCATTTTATTTTGTCTTTCTCCTTCAGGATCCCATCTGGTTTTTCGCTTGGATTGTTTAGCTTCTGTTGACTTCACATTCATCATTGGTACCTGTAATGTCGATCAGAAATATTAGATCTTTGTGAAATCGACCTAAAAAAAATGTTTTTGCTATATTATTATTCTACAGGATTTATATAGCGCCAGTTTGCTCAGCGCTTTACAATACAAAGGGAGACAATACAGCAACAATACAGTTCAATACAAGAGGGATAGGAGGGCCTGATCCTGGGAGCTTACAATCTACAAGTGAGGGGCTGGTGGTACAAAAGGTAGTAACTGTAGGGGATGGACTGGTAAGAAGAGTAGAAGATTCCATTATTAGCTGAGGGCAGGATAGGCTTCCCTGAAGAGATAGGTTTTCAGAGATCGCCTAAAAGTGAGCAGAGTAGGCGATAGTCTGATAAATTGGGGTAGAGAGTTCTAGAGGATAGGGGAAGCTCTGGAGAAGTCCTGGAGGCGAGCATAGGAGGAGACAACAAGGGAGCTAGAGAGCAGGATTATTATTATTATACAGGATTTATATAGCGCCAACAGTTTGCTCAGCACTTTACAATATAATGGGAGACAATATAGCAACAATACAGTTCAATACAAGAGGGATAGGAGGGCCTGATCCCGGGAGCTTACAATCTAAGAGGGAGGGGCTAGTGGTACAAAAGGTAGTAACTGTGAGGGATGGACTGGTAGGAAGAGTAGAAGATTCCATTATTAGCTGACGGCAGGATAGGCTTCTCTGAAGACAGAGGTTTTCAGAGATCGTCTAAAAGTGAGCAGAGTAGGTGATAGTCTGATAAATTGGGGTAGAGAGTTCCAGAAAATGGGGGAAGCTCTGGAGAAGTCCTGGAGGCAAGCATATGAGGAGGAGACAAGGGAGCCAGAGAGCAGGATTATTATTATTATTATACAGGATTTATATAACAACAACAGTTTGCTCAGCGCTTTACAATATCACAGGAGACAATACAGCAACAATAGAGTTCAATACAAGAGGGTTAGGAGGGCCAGAGGATGGGGGAAGCTCTGGAGAAGTCCTGGAGGCGAGCATAGGAGGAGGAGACAAGGGAGCTAGAGAGCAGGATTATTATTATTATACAGGATTTATATAGCACCAACAGTTTGCTCAGCACTTTACAATATAATGGGAGACAATACAGTAACAATACAGTTCAATATAAGAGGGGTAGGAGGGCCTGATCCTTGGAGCTTACAATCTAGGAGGGAGGGGCTAGTGGTACAAAAGGTAGCAACTGTGGGGGATGGACTGGTAGGAAGAGTAGAAGATTCCATTATTAGCTGAGGGCAGGATAGGCTTCCCTGAAGAGATAGGTTTTCAGAGATCGCCTAAAAGTGAGCAGAGTAGGCAATAGTCTGATAAATTGGGGTAGAGAGTTCCAGAAGATGGGGGAAGCTCTGGAGAAGTCCTGGAGGCGAGGGTAGGAGGAGACGACAAGGGAGCTAGAGAGCAGGATTATTATTATTATACAGGATTTATATCGCGCCAACAGTTTGCTCAGTGCTTTACAATATAACGGGAGACAATACAGCAGCAATACTGTTTAATACAAGAGGGAGAGGAGGGCCCTGATCCTTGGAGCTTACAATGAATACTAATCAACAGGCAGTGTGCAAATAAGTCAGCTGATCTACAGTCATGCTTAAAAGTTTGCACACCCTGGCAGAAATCGTGACATTTTGGCATTGATATTGAAAATATGACTGATCATGCCAAAAAGAATCTGTCTTTTATTGAAGGATGATGATCATATGAAGCCATTTATTATCACATAGTAGTTTGGCTCCTTTAGAAATCAAAATAACAGAAATCACCCAAATGGCCCGGATCAAAAAAGTTTACATAAAGGAAGCAGTCCCCTGCGCTTGGTATACTAGGATGGAACTGTACCTGGTCCTTCATACATCCAGTGCTGGCAAAAAGCATTGCTGCCCTCTAGGGGTCGGGGGGAGAACCCAGAACCGATAACTGTAGAAATGAGAAAAAAAAGGAGGGCGCCCCAGCCTAGTGCATTACCTTAAACAGTGTTTCTCAACCTTTTTTCAGTCAAGGCACCCTTTAAAATTATGGACAGTCTTGAGACACCCCGTTCTAAAATGAAGTGCCCCAAGACTGTCCATAATTCTAAAAGGGAACCCCATTCTAAAATGAAGTGCCCCAAGACTGTCCATAATTCTAAAAGGGAACCCCATTCTAAAATGAAGTGCCCCAAGACGGTCCATAATTCTAAAAGGGAACCCCATTCTAAAATGAAGTGCCCCAAGACTGTCCATAATTCTAAAAGGGAACCCCATTCTAAAATGAAGTACCCCAAGACGGTCCATAATTCTAAAAGGATGTACCCCAATACTGTCCATAATTCTAAAAGGGAACCCCATTCTAAAATGAAATGCCCCAAGACTGTCCATAATTCTAAAAGGAAGTACCCCAAGACTGTCCATAATTCTAAAAGGGAACCCCATTCTAAAATGAAGTACCCCAAGACGGTCCATAATTCTAAAAGGATGTACCCCAAGACTGTCCATAATTCTAAAAGGAAGTACCCCAAGACTGTCCATAATTCTAAAAAGGCACCCCATTCTAAAATGTGAAAAACTATTCTAATAGTTCTATATAACGCAGCAACATCCACACATGTAGGACACCCAACATTAGAGGGGATTTATTCTTAAAAAGCAAATACACTTTTGCACACTGGTACTGACTAGTACTCCATTGTTTCTCTTCTCCCTCAGTTTTTCCCATCACTGAGCTAATGTGACCCCAGCACTGATGGAGAGGGGCAGGGGAGGGTCAAATTAGGATGCTGTGCAGGCAGCTGACATCCTCCTCATCAATGGATAATGTCATTGGTTGTCAGGATGCCGGCGGCTAGAAGGTCATAATGGTGCACAATGGTGCTGAGAACACGTGACCTGGTAAGGCCCAGGGAGGAAGGGGGGGGGGGGCACTCGTACGTTTCCCCCCCCCCTTTCCTGGCCTATGCTTTGATCAAGGGTCTGATAGAAATGTAGGGGGGCCCCAAGCTTTTTTCCCATATTTTGGAGAGTGGGGTCCCCCTTAAAAGTCCTACCAGACCGAAAGGGCCTGGTATGGCTTTTAGGTGGAACCCCACGCACTTAAAAAAAAAAAAAAAAACCCACGCTGTTTTTTTTTTTTTTTTTTGTTTTTTTTTTAGAAAAATGTCACTTTTAAAAAAAATGTTAGACCTACTGCAGCAGGTTCTATACATTGTACAGATGTGCCCCTTTAAAAACGGTACTTTTTAAAATGTTCTTTTCCACGGATTCATGTCCCTCAGGTAGTACCCGAGTCCCCATACCCTTTTATGGCCAATAACTTGCATATAATCCTTCAAAATGGGCACTTTTGAATTTCCAAGTTTGAGTCCCATAGACTTGCATCATGTTTGATGTTCACGGTAGAACTTTCTTTAGGTTCCAATGTTCTACCACGAACCGAACGGGGGGGGGGGGGGGGGGGGGGGGGGGGGGTGTTCAGACCATCACTATCAAGAAGTGGAAAATTTGGGGATCTCTTGATTTCAAGCCAAGGTCAGGTGGACAAAGAGAGACTGCAGCCAAAACTGCCAGAAGAATTGTTCGGGATACAAAGAAAAATCCAGCTCGGGAGAAATACAGAATTGTTCTGGAAAAAGACAGCGTGGTTGTTTCAAGTACCACAATATGACGATACTTGAACAAAAAATAGCTGCTTGGTTGAGTTGCCAGAAAGAAACTTTTACTGCACTTATGCCACAAAAAAGCCCGGTTACAATATGCCTGACACCTTGACACACCTCACAGCTTCTGGCACACTGTAATCTGGAGTGACGAGACCAATATAGAGCTGTATGGTCACAACCATAAGCAAAGGTCAATAATGCCTAACACAACAAGAATACCATCCCAACTGTGAATCGTGGTGGTTCACTGATGTTTTGGAATGTTTGTGCTCTAAAGGCACAGGAAATCTTGTGAAAATTGATGGCGAGATAAATGCAGCATGTTATCAGAAAATACTGGCAGGCAATTTGCATTTTTCTGCACGAAAGCTGCACATGGGACTCTCCTGGACTTTCCAGCACAACAATAACCCTAGGCACAAGGCCAAGTTGACCCTCCAGTGGTTACTAGGGATGCACCGAAATTTTGATGGCCGAAACGTTTTGGCCAAAAATACCCCTTTCAGCCGTCAGCCAAAATGAAAAAAAAAAAAAAGCACCGATACAAGTGCCAAAAAAACCCCACCCCTTGTCGCTACCGACCGCAGCTCGGTAGTTCAGCCTTACCTGAGAAACCATCCCGGCACTGGGCATAGAGATGAGTGAAAAGATAGCTGCCACATATCTCTTGGAGGACCACAGCGATGTTACTTCCCGGTCCGGCCATTTTTTGTTTTGTTTTTTTCAAAGCACTAGATCAATGCTTTTTTTGACCTAACGCTTTACATGGCAGAGGAGAGATGTGGGGTCTTATTGATTCCCCTATATCTCTCCATAAAGAGGACCTGTCACTAATTATTTCTATCACAAGGGATGCATGCATTTCTTGTGATAAGAATAAAAGTGATTACATTTTTTTTTAAAGGAACAGTTAAAAAACAAACCATTAAATAATTTTTTTTTTTTAAAGTTTAAAGTGCCCCCGTCCCCCCACACAGTGGTGAACACATAAGTAGGTCGGGCCCACATATATAAATGGTGTTCAAACCACACGTGAGCTATCACTACAAACGTTCAAGCAAGAGCAATAATTCTCACACTAGACCTCCTCTGTAACATTACACTGCTAACCTTTTTAAAGCATCACCCATGGAGATTTTAAAGTACCGCAGTTTCATGCTATTCCACAATCCTGCTCAATTTTAAAGCATGACATGTTGGGTATCTATTTACTCGCCGTAACATCCTCTTTCATATTTTACTAAAAAATTGGGGTATATATTTTTTTTTTAATCAAAGTGTATTTTTTTTCCAAAAAATATATATTCATTATTAAAAACTGCGCATTCTGCTTTTGGTTTTTGGCCAAGTGCATTTTGAATTTTCGGTTTCGGCACCAGAATTTTCATTTCGGTGCACCACTAGTGGTTACAGAAGAAAAAAGAAGAAACCATAATATCATCGAGCCACTTTGGGGAGATCCCAAACACGCAGTTCATGCAAGATGACCAAAGACTTTACATGACCTGTAGGCATTTTGGCAAGACAAATGGGCGGCTCTACCACCTGCAGGAATTTGGGGTCTCTTAGACCAGGGCTTGAAAAAAGTCGCTCGCCCAATGCAAGGAGAAATTCCTCTGTGGCGAGCGGCTGCGAGCAAAGATGAAGACGCATGGAGCGACTGCACATGTGCTCCAAGCCTCATTGTGAAGTCGAGTTCTGGTTTACAACTTCCGGTTTCCACGGCATCACCATTACAATGGCAGCGCCGCTGAAGGAACACGTGCAGGAGAGGTCCGCTCTCCTAGGCTGAGAGGAGACACGCTCTCCACCGCCGCGGGGGACACGAGGCCCGCTCTCCACCGCCGCGCGGGGGACACGAGGGGATTTCCATCACATTGGAAAGATATCCTTTCATTTACTGTTGCATCCACTGGACAGGAAGTGAAGCAAAATCTCCATAATTAGACACAGATGACAAAAAAAATAAAAAATATTTAACCGTACACTACTTTACCCAAAATTAGAAAAAGTGTGCTTGCTCTAAATTGGACAAGGTTGGGCATGGGAGAAGTTGGAATGGCGGCAAGTGTGGAGGTCAGAGTAGATGAGATGGGGTGTGTAGGTGTGCAGCGAGGTGTGTAGGTGTGGTGGCGAGCGCAGGAAGGAGCGAGGTGTGTAGGTGCGGTGGCGAGCGCAGGAAGGAGCGAGGTGTGTAGGCGCGGGTGGCGAGCGCAGGAAGGAGCGAGGTGTGTGTAGGCGCGGTGGCGAGCGCAGAAAGGAGCCAGGTGTGTAGGCGCGGTGGCGAGCGCAGAAAGGAGCCAGGTGTGTAGGCGCGGTGGCGAGCGCAGGAAGGAGCCAGGTGTGTAGGCGAGTGCAGGAAGGAGCCAGGTGTGTAGGCGAGTGCAGGAAGGAGCCAGGTGTGTAGGCGAGTGCAGGAAGGAGCCAGGTGTGTAGGCGAGTGCAGGAAGGAGCCAGGTGTGTAGGCGAGTGCAGGAAGGAGCCAGGTGTGTAGGCGAGTGCAGGAAGAAGCCAGGTGTGTAGGTGCGGTGGCGAGCGCAGGAAGGAGCCAGGTGTGTAGGCGCGGTGGCGAGTGCAGGAAGGAGCCAGGTGTGTAGGTGCGGTGGCGAGTGCAGGAAGGAGCCAGGTGTGTAGGTGCGGTGGAGAGTGCAGGAAGGAGCAAGGTGTGTAGGAGAGTGCAGGAAGGAGCGAGGTGTGTAGGAGAGTGCAGGAAGGAGCGAGGTGTGCAGGAGAGTGCAGGAAGGAGCGAGGTGTGCAGGAGAGTGCAGGAAGGAGCGAGGTGTGCAGGAGAGTGCAGGAAGGAGCGAGGTGTGCAGGAAGGAGCGAGGTGTGCAGGAGAGTGCAGGAAGGAGCGAGGTGTGCAGGAGAGTGCAGGAAGGAGCGAGGTGTGCAGGAGAGTGCAGGAAGGAGCGAGGTGTGCAGGAGAGTGCAGGAAGGAGCGAGGTGTGTAGGTGTGGTGGGGAGTGCAGGTGGGAGGGCTGCAGGAGCAGTGGTGAGTGCAGGAAGGAGCGAGGTGTGTAGGTTTGGTGGTGAGGGCGTATGGTGGTAAGTGCATACAGAATGAGAACATGCAGGTGGGAAAGGAGTGTGATGGTCAGTGTAGACAGGAGGGGGGTGTGCAGGGGTGGGGTGGTGGCGAGTGTAGGCAGGAGGGGGGTGTGCAGGGGTGGTGGCGAGTGTAGGCAGGAGGGGGGTGTGCAGGGGTGGCGGCGAGCGTAGGCAGGTGTGGTGACGAGTGTAGGCAGGAGGGGGATGTGCAGGTGTGGTGGTGAGTGTAGGCAGGAGGGGGGTGTGCAGGGGTGGTGGTGAGTGTAGGCAGGAGGGGGGTGTGCAGGGGTGGTGGTGAGTGTAGGCAGGAGGGGGGTGTGCAGGGGTGGTGGTGAGTGTAGGCAGGAGGGGGGTGTGGGGGGGGGGGGGGGGGTGGTCAGTGAGATCTGTGTATGTTCTGCTGACAGTACCATTCTTATGACAGGATCGCTCTTGTACATCTTGATCCCCTCTTCCTCCTCGATCTCCACAGCCATCCTCCTCATGAAGAGTGCCCGGTCCTCCTTGCTGCTGAAAAGTGCCTTCAGAACAAATGGATAGGCTTTGGCCACATACAGCTTGCGGTGTTTGAACCCGCAGACATGATCCAACATGGGGACCACACCGCTGTCCATCTCACAGAGCTCACAGAAATACTTGACATCCACTCTGTCTCGGACATGGACCCGGTACTCCAGGATGTACTCCAGTCCGATGACGGGCTCCCGGTCCTTTATGGGCAGGTAATCCTTCAGGAGGTAGACGGATCTCCGGATGTGCTCTGGGACCACTCCCTGGACTAGGCTCTGCGGGGGATCCGGCTTTTTCGGGACATTGCTTGGCGTTGGCTCTGTTTTTTTCTGCTTCTCCGGGTCGTTGTTCCCTGTGGGCTCCGGTTTTTGGTGCTTTTCCGGCACGCCAGCTTTTCGGTCCGTTTCCCGATCATTCCTCAGCGTGGTCTCAGGTTTTCGGTCTTTTTCCGGATTCTTGCTCAGCCTGGACTCAGGTTTTCGGTCTTTTTCTCGATCGTTCCTTGAAGTGGTCTCAGGTTTTCGGTTCCTTTCCCGGTCACTGCTCCGCGTGCGATCAGGATCTCTGTCCTTCCCCGATCTCCCGGTGTCCCGAGTCCTCCCGCCATCACGTCTGTTGTGATCCGTTGTCTGGAAATGTCTTCTAAGGTTCTCCATGGAGGAGGAGGAGAAGTCGCAGTCTGGACACCTCCGGTCTCTGTCACCATTGTAATTTCTCCTGGGTGGTGAATAGTGATCCCTCCTGCTGCTGGCCTGTCTTCTGTCAGCTGAACCTCGAGGAGGAGAACCATCCCGACCGCCCATAATTCTCCCGCCCAATGTCTGCGCTCCTGAAGAACCTTCTCACGGGAAGGGAACGGCTTCCCTGACCCACCAATGCTTCCACACTGCCAGTACGGCCCCACTGCACTAATGGTTGGGCATAGACTCCGTAACTATGGCGGCCACTAGGGGCTTCTGGGTAAAAGATGGCAGTGGAACATGCGCAGTGAGCGGTTTCACGAGGACTTCCGCTATAGGCTCCGCCCTACCTCGCTCCCTTTCAAATGTCGGTATGAGGGAAGAGATAGAGGCGCTGGCTTGCCGTTTTTGTGCTGTCATAGGCTGGCCGGTTTGATTAGGGGCGGGATCAGGTCTGGAGGGGCGGAGGGAAGGTGAAGCTCGGCATTACTAGAACTAGCTAGTCCCCTCCCCTTGTACCCGCCCTTCTAGCACTCTGCTCCGCCCCTTGTTTCCTAGCTTCTGCCTTCAATGCCCCCCACGTGATCTAAGTGTCACTGGCTGATGTCATTGTGCCCGCCTCTGGACTTTGTCATGTCACATGGCTGTGTATTCAACACCTCTCCGTCCATCCACCGCCCGCAACTCTCCGTCCCCCGGCCCGCACCACCTCCGCCCGCAACTCTCCGGCCCGCACCACCTCCGCCCGCACCTCTTCGTCCATCCACCGCCCGCACCTCTCCGTCCATCCACCGCCCGCACCTCTCCGTCCACCGGCCCGCACCTCTACGTCCATCCACAGCCCGCAACTCTCCACTTTTTGTCCTCTCCACCACCGTCCTCCGCACCCCTCCACCACCGCACCACCTCAACCCCCAAGTCACCATGCATATACCCCCTCCACCCCCCCCCCATACATCCCATGTCACCATGCCTGCACCATCCCCCCCCCCCCCATACATCCCATGTCACCATGCCTGCACCATCACCCCCCCCCCCCCCCCCCCCATACATCCCATGTCACCATGCCTGTATCCTTTCCACCCCCAATAAACCTCATGTTGCTGTACCTGCACCCCAGTTACCATATACTCAATGTCACCATGCCTGTACCCCCTCCACCCCCCCCCCCCCCCCGTTACCCAATATCACTGTACCTGTGCCCTTTCCATCCCCCATGTCACCATTCCTGCGCCCCGCCCACCCAACAAATACCCCATGTCACCATGCCTGCACCCCCTTCTCCCAAACATCCTTTTTCACCCCCTCCCACTACCATTCCTGCACTCCCCCATTATGACCTGATTCTGAAACTCCCATATCTCATACCTAATTCCTTCTCCTCTCCTATAATGCCCCATGTTACACAGTATGTGTGGAAGTGGCTCCTCTCCTCCAGAGGAAATGTTAATCTCCAGTGAAAGGGTCCGCTTTTCCAGTGGAAGTGTCCTGTCCTCTAGTAGAAGTGTCCTCTTCTCCAGTGGAAAAGGTCCTCCCTTCCATTGAAAATGTCCTCTCCAGTTGAATTGTCCCCTCTTCCCCGGTGGGAGGGTCCTCACCTCTAGTGGAAGGGCCACTCATCCATTGGAAGTGTTCTCTTTTCTGATGGAAGGGTCCTCTTCTCCGGTGGAGGTGTCCTCTCTCCTCTGGTGGAAGGGTCCTCCCCTCTAATGGAAGGGTCGACTCCTGCATGTGAGGTGTCCCCTCTCCTCTGGTGGAAGGGTCCTCACCTCTAATGGAAGGGTCGACTCCTGCACTTGAGGTGTCCTCTCTCCTCTGGTGGAGGGGTCCTCTACTCTAATGGAAGGGTCGACTCCTGCACGTGAGGTGTCCCCTCTCCTCTGGTGGAAGGGTCCTCACCTCTAATGGAAGGGTTGACTCCTGCAATTGAGGTGTCCTCTCTCCTCTGGTGGAAGGGCCATCTCATCTGGTGGAAGAGTTCTGACTTCCAGTGGAAGTGCCCTCCCCACCATTGTCCACTTATCCAGGGTTCTACCCCCTCTGTTCACAGGAACTGTACTATGTACTTTAATTGACAGTTGTGCTAGCCAAATGGCTGGAAAGTATATGTGACGTGCTGGAGATCCAATTGGTTCAATATAGCAACACCAGTTGATGGGCATTTGGATATGATTAGGTTGGCTTTTTGGATCCCTCAGCAGCACCATATACCTCTTCTCACCAAGTTAAAACAATACATTTTGCCAACCCTGCCAAACTCTGCTTACTTTATACCAGGGGTTTGGTAAAGACAAGTTTTCATTCCCCTTTTTCTACGTCATTGAAGCAATTATTTACATACGTGGTTATCTGACAGAGGTATGGTCACAAGCAGACCTGCTGATCAGAGGAAGAAAGCTGCTTCCGTAGTAGAAGCCAAGGGGGTATTGTTGAGTGCCAGCTCCAGAACTGCTGGAATATGGCACACCCAAAGGGCATGGGGCTTCCGAGGTGCTCAGGAACGTTAAAGCTATCTGTGACCATCTCTAGGTTGGCTGCTTTTAAATGTCCGCTTGAAACATTGCAGAACCCACAAAGATTTCCTTTTATCAGCACAAGTATTCCATGAATATATTACTACTAATTAATATTTCTCAAGTGCTTTCCTACCTGGGGACTGTTGAGGCAGATAGTGGGGCAACCATCTTGATCTCATGGGCCAATTTTAGACAGGAGCCAATTAACCCACCAGCATGTCTTATGGAGCGTAGGAGGAAACCCAAACCAGCACAGGCAGAACATGTAAACTCTTTTCAGATAGTGTGTTGCCCAGGACTTAACCCAAGTAGCCTGAGTATAGCATCATGTAGGGCTTTCCTCTCACACACAACCCTCCTTATTCCAAACGACTTCCCACTTTTCTACGTACTGTCGGGCAGAATAAAGTGTGGCCACTTAGACTGGTAGCTCTCTCTGACACACCCAACTGGGACAGGAACTGCAGGCTAAACCTCTTGCCTACTGACTATGGCCCCTGGTATCTGAGTGGGCTCTCGTCTTTGGTAGGTGTGTGCCTGGGGGGACCTTTGGAGTCAGACTCAGAACTGGAGGACCCGGATACAGATTGACCAGCATTGACTGCTTCAACCCCCTCCCCCCCTAGACTCAGAGCACATGTTACTATAATCAGTTCAAAACAACCTGATGCTGAAGTCTCTTGCTGTAATCTGTTTATTAAGGTGTGATGTGTTTACTGTGTTATTGGCCCGTTGCTAATTGAGTCACCTATTTCTGTCTGTTGGTTAGTCCTCCTGGAGGTTCCTACAGGATGGGATTAGTCTGGTGTCAACTTGACCTCCTTACTTAATCAGTGTGTGTTTATCCCAATATGTAATATTTGTTTTTATTATTCATGTGGGGACTGCCCCTATTTCTGAAGTGTATAAAAACCTGTTCAATAAAGTAGTCCCAGTTGCACCTAAGCTAGTGTCATCTATTTCTTGGGTGCAATGCCCAGCTATAATACCTTGGTCCTGTGTCCCAGCAGTGAGGAAGCAGTTCTCTGACAGAAGCACCCAGGCGGGGTGCCAGGTGGTCCGTCACACTCTCATTCAACACTACAGCACAGATGTCAAACTGGCGGCCCTCCAGCTGTTGCCAAGCTACAAGTCCCATGAGGCATTGCAAGATTGACAGTTACAAGCATGACTCCCAAAGGCAGAGGCATGATGGGACTTGTAGTTTCACAACAGCTGGAGGGCTGTTTTGACACCCCTGCTGTACAGTATTTCAAAGGTTGTGCTGTAATTAAAGATTTCCTGAATAGGTGACATTTCACATGACAGCCCAAATTAAAGGTCCCATTCTCAGTAATATTTGGTGGTTCTGTGCGTGTGTGGTTGTTTCCGTCATGCTACTAAAATCGCAAAAGGACTAAAGGAACAAATAACCTCCATTAACATTTTGTCACTCACTGTATGCGTATATGTGGCAGCATAAAGGAGGTGGGATTTATTTCGTGTTGCCACATATTTGCATCTGTTAGAAATATTTTGCACATAAAAAATGGCTTTGGCTCAACACCTCAAACCCAAAATATTTGAAATATCGAGAGAAAAGTCTAGTTTATGATTAGAGTATTGCCAGAGATCATTTGATAGCAATAATGAACTTTTATTGATTAACCTCCCTGGCGGTCTAACTAATCAATATTTTTGAATGTCAAAGCGGTACATTGTTTTGCATGGAAATTGATTTATATTGTAGGCCTGTAATTCTTAGGAATAACTCACTTAAATCTGTCCGAACAAGAGTCTAGTAAACACCCCGGGTATGATAAACACACAAAAATCATAAAATATAATAAATAATTATAAAAAATAATAATACATTTAATTCAATAACATCAGTGTCTGAAGACGAATTTCCCCACAAATCACTATCGCTCAATTCTGCAAGTGATTCTAATTCACTGTCTCGGTTTTCTTGCTGGTCTAATACCATTTTTGACCTAAAGGGATGCTTTTTGGATGCCATGGACGTTCTCATGTTTCCAGGCACAAAGAAAAGTAAGGCTCTATGTACACTGCAGCTGATAAACTCACATTTAGGATCTTTTCTGCGTTTTTTTTTTCAGCAGCCCCTGAACTCTCTCTAATGTTTTCCTATGTGTCCGTGTACACAGAGTCGTTTCCAGGCAGTTGAGTTTACAGTCGTTTTTTCAAATGCACCAAACTTGTGTTCAGGAGCAGATTTTATCAGCGTTTCAGACGTGGCTAAATGAGTTTATAAGCGTTTGCATTTGGAACATTTTTTTAACTCTTCCATTTCCAGATGCTGTCAAGAGCCTTTTTTCATCATGAAAAATGCATGCAAAGCTTTTTCCCGGTACTCAAATGGACCCGGTATACCATACTTCGAGGTATCGCATGAAAGAAAATATGTTAGACACTGATGCAATAATTTCTGCACAGAAAGGAGCTAAAACACATCCAAACACCACAAAAAAAAAAAGCTAATCTCAACAAATACTGCTCTCTCTGCTTCTGCTCTCTCTTTCTCCCAAAATGTCTAAAATAGTTCATTTTTACTATTTTTCAGTGCTTTCTGGGCATTTTGGAAGGTCTCCTGAGGTTATCTTTAAA